CATTCACTTTGTTTTAACTAAATTTCACAGTTCTGCTTGCTGCCTGGTATTTCATTTCCGAAAAGACTATTGTTTGAGGTTCCCCAATTATTAGTTTCGGCGCCATTCTCGTATCCATAACCTAGTCTCAGGTGAGCGTAGATGCTGAAGTTGTGTGTGGACAGGAGCATTATTTTGAAATTTCAGCTTCCTAGCTTTCGAGGCCTTAGAGTTACTAGTCTTGGTACCTGAAAATCTTACGCGTCACTACGTGAGATCCAAGCATGTGGAGAGACTGGATCTGAGTTTGCGGAACCATAAGTGAGCGAGGGGTAAATTTTCGGCCTCCTGGCTTACCTGATTCCTGAGTTATTAATAGGGCGCAAAAATTTTAAGTTTCCTTACATAAGTCTTTATTATGCAAGGAAACTAAGTTTCTGTATTTGCTAGGTCATAAGCGGGCAAGAGTATCATTCATTTAGAATTTTATCTTCCTACCTTCTGTACTCCTCGAGTCATTAATTTAGGCGCCACAAGTTTCAGGTGACCGTACGTGAAGACTAGGCTCACGCGGACGTTGAGTTATAGTTTGCTAGATCACATGCAGGATATGGGTTTGCTCCTTAAAATTCAGCTTCCTAGCTTCTGTGGTTCCTAGTTAAACCCTCGAAATGGATGCGCATGGAACACACACACACACACACACATAGACAATGAAGGATCTCGGCAGTATGCGTTTTTTACAACTGTTGCAGTACAGAACGCATAAGAATTAGGAAATTACTGACAAGCTGAAATCAGTAGGTGCTTTAATGGGAGCCCGAAAGACCTCATCGAAAACAAATGAGCGTCTCAGAACAAATTTAAAGTAGTAGCACGGATGCTATTATGCTTTAATTTGACTTCTAATTTTTATATGAGGCGGTTAATTTTTCTCGATGATAGTTGTGTCTGTGCAAAATTACTTTTACATTCTTAATCATTTTTCGATAAATCTGAATGGGACTTGTAGTGCTGACTATCAAGTTCTCGCTTTCAAAAATTTTCCACTTTTTTTGTACAGATTCGAAGAGATGTGAAAGATGTAAAAAACTTAAATAGTTCCTAAGAAACTGGAACTTCAAAAGGAGTGAGGAACTGATCTTTTGAAAGAAAGTTAAGGCACATCGTGGGAAATTGTAGCTTTGGTATAGCTCATTTAAAAAATTTCGCAAGTTACCAATGGAGGTGTGTAATGGATGGTCGATTCCGGTCAAATCCAGGGGTTCAATTTCAAATCCTTTCAAATCGGAGGCGACTGCACTATCTCATGATGAATGTATTGAGGCAGAAGATGAAGGACAAAAAACCTGGAGAGCTGGGGAACACACACCAGTAAATAGAAAAAGCGCCTAGATAGAGTCGAGGGACGTAGGGAATGGGCAAGCATTTGAAAGAGGGAAGAAGCAATCCGCCACTGAGAGATCCAATAAGAAATGCGTACAGGAAGAATGGGACGTATGGATGGGAGGAGTGCTCTTGTGTGCGCACAAATGTCCCGCGGTTAAATTAGATCAGATCGTGTTCTACTAGTGGCTACGGCCTTCATTGCATTTACCCACATCACCAGAT